CCTCTTAAAACTTCCACTTTCACAGTTTTCTAAGAAATTTTGCCTATCTCAGTTTGACCCTAAATTTTGAGTAACACGAGTTCTTACCAAAGATAATTGACTAATATGAAATACATTAGTTTTTGAAATATAAACAAGCTTCTATTGGTCACATTCATGTGTTCTATTAATATCATTGATAATTGGAAAGAAGGTTTCAAAAACGTTTGCTTTCAAAAGCTCAAGTCTCTTAATGAAAACTTTCATAACATCAAAAGATCAAGTAATAGGTAATATGGATTATAAACTCCTGTCTCTTATCTAAGTTTTTTAAGTAGTGACAAAGCTTTAATAAAAAAAACTGAGATCTAAATGCTTTCTTTGAAATATTTCAATCTGATGCTTATTTAAATGAAGGATCAATTGAATTGACTTATTCAATACTATAAATAGTAAAAAAGATTTTTTTTGAGATTCAAGTGAAGCCTGAAGACTATTCCAATTAGACAGATTTCTTTTGAGAAGAGACTGTTTTTATTTTTGAATTTTTTTTATGAATCTTGAATTATTTTCTTTCTTCAATCATTTTTTTCTTTTCTCTTTTTTAACTTAACAATTCATTGGTTTTTTTTGCAATTAACAGTAACAAACTGTTAACAATGATTCTAATAAATAGAGGTTAATACCATATATTAGGGAAGTATAATATTGTTTCCAAAATCTGACTTAGAATACTTTTATATAAAGACAAGTTAATCACTTTGTAAAAGTCTATAAATTATTATATATTTACTTTAATTTCTCAATAAAGATAAGCCATCATGGTATGATTGTGGATTAAAAAAAAAAAAAAAAATTATTTTCTAAATCTGACTTAAAATATATAATTAATTTTTAGTTTTGTTTAATCCAAACTAGCTTAGTGAACTTTTTATATTTTTTAAGTATTGTAGTCTTTTAACTAATAATGTACAATAATAACTTAATCACTTTATAATAGTCTATAAAATATTTTAATATTTTTTAAATAGATCAATAAAAATATATTATTGTAATATAATTATAGGTTAAAAAAAAATTATTATATAATATAGTTATTTATTAAAATATTGTGAATAATTTTTAATTTTTAATTTTTTTTTTTTTAAACTGCAACTGGTATTAGATGTAAGCTGTTTATTGATAATTAAATCTTAAGCATTACATCAATTATCTTATACATATACATGCAAATTAATGATAACCTATTATGGCTTGTCCTAGACAGACCTGTTTGAAACCTCCCTATAGGTGGGCACGCCTGACTAGGGGCCGGATAGTTGATAACAGTCATCAATGGTGATATTGTTATAGTTAGCTAATTCTGTTAATAAGGGACTACTATACTAACTTATACATTAGTATCAAATCCTCAAGGGTTATTTTAATCACCCAGATACTCTGATACTTTTTACTTGAACCTCGAAAGTGATTTCTATCTTTTTTGTTACTACTTGTGGCATTATAAACAAGTCCTGTTCGACAGGTTCTTCATTTAAGCAAGCACTGGATTGGGATATTCCAAGTTAAAGTAGTCAGATTTCAGATTCTGCTAGTATAGTTTGGGATAAGGAATGTTCAGAAAATTGCTGCAGTCCTAAAAGCAGGATCCCAGAGTCTGCTGATACAGTTTGGGGTTAATGATGTGTTCAGACGATTACCGCAGTCCTAAAAGCGGAATCCTGAAGTTTGTTTCTTATCCAGTTCAGGAGGGTTAGGTCAGGCATAATTTGTGTAACTAGACCAGAGGCCTTTCTTTATGCAATCCTCGCAGTAGATTCTTTTCAGCCTGGTGATCAACAGTGAGATCAGAAGTCTCATCCTTATGCAACCTGGTTATTTTTTCACATGGCCCTTACGTGATATTGAATTCTAGGCCTTGTAATTGCAACATGGGAGTACTACCACTGTGCTATAGACCCACAGGTCATATATTTTTTAATTTTTATCATTTAAAATCAGATAAATAAATATAATATAAAATTTTTATTATATGTTTTATAAATTTTAAGATATAAAATTATATAAAAGCATAATAAATTGTTATTTTAAATTAAATTTATAATTAATTTATTGTTTTTTTTTTTAAAAAAATAATAATATAAAATTATATTATTATTAAAATTATTTCAAATTTTACCAAAATTTTGTGTAACATTTAGATAATATTAAATAATATTAAGGAACATATCTATCTATATAATAAATATAATTAAATAGTTAATTAAAACTTATCTTTTTATAAATAATAGATAGTAATAGAAATTTGACAAAAAATTAAAAAAATATAATAATTTATAGTTAACAGTAAAAAGTTGATTCATACTATTGTAACTATTATTAAATATAATAAGTCTATTATATATAATATTATAAATGAATTTTATTGGATAGGTGCTATTGAATAAAAAAAAAAACTAAATATTTTAGAATCTTTTTTCTATTAATTATAAGAATTTAAATTAATTACTAATGATAATTATTATCTCAATCTTATTTATATTATTAATTTTTATAATAAAAAAAAGTTTTTACTAGTACTATATACTATACTTTATATAGCAAAAACTTGAAATTATATTTTATCTTCTCAAAACCATTGGTTTTCTTATAGAATAAAAAAAATATATATATAATTAAGTTTTTATTTATAAAAAATATTCTATTCAATACTTAATACATGTTTTGTGATTAAATAAAATTATTAATTATTTTTTTTTTTAAGATTTTTCTAATTATATTTAATATGAGCTTCAAGAAAAATAAACAATCAATTGCTTAAATTCTACTATAAATCATAATATGAGACAAATAAATTAAAATTGCTTTTCTTAATATAAAATTGGATTACTTATTTCACTTAAGTCTTTTATTATTAACATTTTGTATATTGAGATTCTTCAATTATATATATTTTTTACTTTAAAAAAATTTTTATCAAATAATTATAATTATTTGTTTTTTAACAAAATAATATAAGATTTCATATTAAAAATTCTATAAAAATTTTTATAAAAAAAAAATAAATTAAATAGATAAATTAATTATCTCAATGTTTTGACCTTAATTCAGTTAAAATTTGTAATTTAAGATTAAAAAATTTCTATATTATAAGTTAAAGCTGAACAATATTAAAGAGTTAGATAATATTGTTAAAAAGATTTAATATAGAATATTACTTATTACTTGAATATTATTATTAATTGATTATCAACATGTTCAATTAGGCTGCTATTTATATTATTATTGAAAAAAAATTTATAAAATATTAAAATCTTATTAGTTTTTTATGAAAAATTTTTTTCTTAATAACTTTTATACAATCTAATAAAATTAAATAAAAATTTAATAACTAATATCTTAACACTTTTTAAATATGTAACAAAATTTTGTATTATATTTATTGTTTAATTCTAAATAATATAAATTTAAAAAGTATTTACAATATTTTAATAGACTATATATATATATTTAATTTTGATTAAGTAATATTAAATTATAGATCTTATAATTATAATCTAAAAGTATTACTATTTTACTATTGACTTATAGATCTTTTAATTATAGCCAATACATTAGTATTAAAAAATATTAATATTATATTATTAAATAAATATTTTGAAACCAAATTTTATTTTTCTATTCTATTTCAATTTATATTTTAATAATCTTATTTTTGATTTTATAATTTTTAGTTTAATTAAAATATATAATATTTGAATTATTTTTGTTTATTATTAAGAATATTATTAAAATATATAAATATAATTAATAAAAACTTGTTTAAGTTTATAAAATTAATATATTTTAAATTTTTTTGATTATTAGAAATCAAGTTTTTAATCAAAAAAAAAAAAAAAATTATAAATAAAAAAGAAATAATAATAATTTTTTGAAAATATTCATTAATTATTTTAAGAATAATAATAAGACTTTATTAACCAATAAGTCAAAAGACTTTTACACAAACATCTTTTATAAGTGATCAAAGAATTAATAAAAATAGTTTTTTTCAATATTTATATATATTTTATATTAGATAGATTTAGTTTTTACCACATGCTAATGGAGCAATAAATCACTTCAGTAGATGCACTTAGAGTTTTGTAAACTAAAGACGAGTGAGTTAGCTGAAGACGAAGGGTTAAAAATAAACTAATTTGAATTCCAAAATTGACCAATTACAAAATTGGTTAATCCATTCTTAAATTTTCAAGTATTTTAAATCGGCTTAAAAATATATATTTACTTTTTATTATAGTAAAACTTTTTTTAGTGTCTAAGTATACTGTATAATCGATTCAAAGTCTGCGGCTTTCAAAAAGATTTTCATCGTATTTAAGAAACATTTTAACTTATAAGTTAGTTCACTGTCTGCGTTTAGCTCTTAACCTGATTCATAAACAGTTTAATGAAATGAATATGAATTCAGTTCAGACTCTATTTTTTGGGATCCGCGAATACCTCAGTCCTGTGCTCAAGAACTCAAAATTCAAAGAAACTGGCTGCATTACACCCGAAGAGGTTCGATCATATAAACTTTATTTTATTTTGATTAGTCAATTTTTCGCGAGGAGTATTTATTTGTTCGACAAAGACGAGATTTCCAAGTATGATTTTTGATAGAATTCTTGATTCTCAGTAATATTGAGTATTTTAAGTTTGGCGTAATAATTTAGTTTATAGCCGCCGGCGACTTTTTAGTTTACAAATGCCCCACCTGGAGCTGGTATTTGAACTATAGTTCTTATGATGATTTTTGCAATCTTAATATGGGCCGTCTTTTAAGCTAATTTATGAACTTTTTACACATAATAAAGGGAAAGTGGAGAGACAAGCAAAAGGCGTGACTATTTACCTGCTCAAAAACAATTTCTTATTACAAGAAATGGTAGGTAAGGTGCGGGTGGTATCTAATTATATGTTTGAAAATAATTTCTGTATGATTCAACATAGTGCCTTGCTTGAGACGGGTCAAACAAATGGAATATACCGATGAGGATGCAGAAACCCAGGTTGAAACTGAAGATGGAGAGGAAGCCTGGGTGGCAACTCACAGCGGTCGTGGTAAGATTCTATTGTTGATTGGAAATTGATTAGCATTGTGCAAACAGAACTGATCCCTCGCTGTTATATTTGTCATTTTAAAAGCTGCGACAAACATTGAGGAAATCGCGCAGCAGATTGAAGGGGATGAAGATGAAATTAATAAAAGGGTAAGCAAGATTGTACTGGAGGATATAAACGACAAAGATGATGTTGACATTCCCGATATGGATGATATTCCGGACATTGAAGAAGTCGAGAATGAAGTGGTGGAAGAAGACGATCCGGTATTCTACCGTATATTAAAATTGCATCATTTTATCTTATAATTATTATGCTATGCTAACAGTAGATTAATTATGATTATTAGGCAGCGTTGAATAATGGGGCTTCTTCTGGTGACGGTACAAGGTACACTTCGTATTAACATATAGATAGACAATTCTACAATTTATTGGTTATAATTAAAGACCCATCGTTATCAAATTTAAGCGACAAGATTCTTCAAGTACGAACATACGATGTATTCATCACATATGACAAATATTATCAAACTCCGCGTATGTGGCTTTTTGGCTATGACGAGGTAATATTTTGACCATCCCTTGTGGTGCTTGGCCTGCCTAAATGTTACCTATACTAATTTCTCATCAATATAGCACCGTCGGCCATTGACGTCGACGCAGATCTTTGAGGACGTTTCTCAAGATTACGCGAAAAAGACGGTGACAATCGAAACGCATCCGCATTTGAATATGTCTTTGGCGAGTATCCACCCCTGTCGTCACGCTCAAGTTATGAAAAAGATCATTGAAAAGATGAATGAAGAAAGTGTCAAAAAGTTTGAACTGCTGCAACAACAATACGGAAAATCCGAGAATGCTCCACAATTAGAACAGGCACAAGTGAGAGTTGATCAGTAAGTAGTACGCATGTTCCCATTTTAAATTCAAATCCAATAATTTTAATATTAATTAATGCGTTTATTATAACTTGAATTTTTAGGTATCTCATCATATTCCTAAAATTTATGTCGTCTGTGGTGCCAACCATTGATTATGATCACACGATTAGCGCCTAGAGAAGGACCATCTTCATACTCATTTTCTTCTTCTCGAATTTTTAGGAGTTTGATGCATATTTATTTATACCATTAATGTACTTTTAACGGGATATTTTTAATATTAAATTGATTGAGTAGAGATGAGCATCTGTTAGCTACAAATGAAAATATTATTATTTAAGGTAAAATACAAGAAACGAATGAAATCTACATGAAAGTATGTGTATATTGAAAGGGACGCCAACAAATGAATGAGAATATTGGATAACTATGACCATAAATAATACGAATGTTCAACTTTTTTATCACTTAATGTATAAATAAATAATGAGATGGGTGTACTACGATCGAATCGATCATGATTGTACTTTTTCGATACGCTTCAACCAATTTAATTTTCCCGTTATTTCACCTTTCATTCTTGCTATTTGTTCGGAATACTCATTAGTTCTCTGACTCGAAGATTGTACATCCTTCTTCATGGCTTCAATCTCACCCAACAGTTTCGCAACACATTTTTCTTGATTTTCTTGCAACTTTGAATGCGTCGACTCTAAATTGCTTAATTCATCTTTACGTTCCGTTGTCAATTCTTCAATACGAACACTAGTCATTAGAACCACATCCTCCAATTGTCGTGAAGTTGAACTCATTTCTTCGCGGAGAGTCTTAAATTCATTCTTGACAATCTCGACGTCTTTTGTGTATCGAGTTTTAAAATTTTGCATTTCCTTAGACAGAAGCTTATATTCATATTCTGCTTTTTCTTTGGCGGCCAAAGCCTCTTGTAATTTTCGCTCTAAATCTGATACTCTCAACTCGGATTGACGGAGTCTTGTATTAGCATTATCACGTTCAAACTTCATATCTGAATTTTTTTTCTCAATTTCTTTTGATGACTCCTCCAATTCTTTGGTTTGCCTTTCCTTCCTTTCAAGCATTCGTTTCAAAGAATCAATCTCGAGTCTTAAGGTTTGGTGTGATGCCAAATGTTCTTGTACTTGTCTTTCTGATCTCTCGCGGGCCACCTTGGAAGTATGAATTTGAGTTTTTGTTTCCGCAAGCTCTTTCTTTAAGTAATCAATTTCCGCTTGTAACTTCTCAATAACCCTTCCAGTAGTAGATTCATTCTGTATTGTACCGTTTATTTGGTTTGGGTGTCGACCGAGTTGTTCCTGTACTGTGGTGAGCAAGGCGTCCTTTTCGGCAATATCATGCTGAAGACTATAAACCTGTTGCTTCAGGACTTTAATTTTACTCGAGTCGTCTGCAAAGTGTAATTATTTGTTTAGAGAATAAATTTTAATTTTTGATGTCGATTTGATAAGAAGGTTGCGCGATTTGACGCTTTAAAGCAACAGTTAATAGTGAACGAATATATAAGATTGTATATTATTAAATTTTGGATGGAAGAATATAAAATTATGGGTCTACACCGGGTGCAAAGGTTTCTCTTTAAATTCTAAAATAAATTCTTACCAAGTTCGCCGTTGCTCATGTGTTCTGGTAAATCAACTGTCAATGATGACAGTTCAGTTGAATAAGTGGAGGCCTCCAACTTTGGTTCAGATAATGTGATTAGGGGATTTGAATGATGGAGGCGAAGTACCCAGGAAAAGAAACTGTACTCTTGTCGACGTAAGGTTCAGGAGAATAGCGTAGCGCTTAAAAAGGAATGTTCAGAAATTCAGTTCGGTACTAGTGATAGATTCGGAACTAATGATTTATTACCGTTACGTTGAGCTTCTTCACATGCAATTAAGGTGACAAATTTGAGTTGTGTTTAATAAATGTCACATGAATTCGGATCACATAATAATACGTATATAATAGCCCCCATTTTTATTGGCTACCTTGGTTACTCTGCAAATTTATTTTTATTAATCACATAATTTTATTATTAAAATTTAAAAAGAAAAAGAAAAAAAGGAAGAGTTTATTTTACATTAAATTTATTAATAGGGGACAAAAAAAATTGCCTAAATTTTTTAAAAAATTAAAATTTTTATTATAATTTAGAATTTATTTATTTAAAAAATATAAAAAAATATTAATATAAATATTTTAGTTTTAAGATAATTTTTAATTAAAATAATTTATATTTATTTAATAATATTATTTTTGATTTTTTTTAAATTTTATATATTAAGTTGTGTAAATATATAAGTTGGATGTTATTTTATAGCAAATTATATATAAATCTATATTTAAAAAGTTAAAATTTTATATATTAGTTTGTAAAATTTATGTATGATATAAAATTTTTTAATTAAAACAAAAATATTTAATAATAATAATAATGAAAGTTATAAAATAATCTTAAATAAAATTAATTTTTAGGTATTTAAGTATTTATTATTTTAAGTTTAATTTAATTTAGACAATTTTTTATTAAATTAATATATTTAAAAAAAATATAATTTTTTTTGTTTCTTATTGTATATAATATTATATATATTTTTTTATTTTTTTTAATCCATATTCAAATCAGTATAGCTTATCTTTATTGTATATATATAAGATATTTATAAAATGTTTTGACTTTCATATACTAAATCATAGATTAGTTAATTTTCTAGAATTAGTTCAACCTATCCAATACCTTTGATACCTCTTTCAATTATAATAAAAAAAAAGCTTCTTGATTAAACTAACCCACAATAAATTTTTAATACAACAGATACTAAAAAAAAAAAATCAGATATTTATATCATAATAATCTGTTCAGTTATAAACTTTAAAAAGAAACATTAGGACATCTGTTCAAATACCTAGCCATCAAAGAAATCAGAGATGATATATAGAAAAAAGTAAAAGAAAAAATCAACTACTATATCAGTAAAGAAATTAAAGATAAAAAAGAAGTTTATCTTGTAATCAATAACTGAACAAGTAAATAATTAAATAAAATTCAACAATCTGATAGAAGCCTTTTTAATACTATTTGTAAATACATGGAAGAAAACAAAACTACTTTCTTAAAGAATTATCTTAAAACATAACTCAAAATTCTTCTAACAGTTACATAGAGTATAATTGGTAAGCTTTGTTATAAAATAAGAAAAAACTTCAAGAAGAATATATGGAACAGTCATTACAAAAAAGTAATAAAATAGAAAAAGAAGCAGAATATAACTGAAGAGAACAAAAGAATAAAAAAATCTGGACATAGAT